GGATCATTTGTCCATGCATGATCTTTGTCTGAAAGCTCATGGGTTGCAGGAGTTGTCATAGGAGGTTATATTTTTGTCCTTCCAACTGTTATGGAAATTACAGGGGGGGCACATCTTTAAAGTTGTTAAATGTTGCAAATATTATGCCTGAATGTACCCTTTCAACTTGACAGCTCAGGGAAGTTACCTAGATAAAATCCTGTAACACAATGTATCAGCCTTAATCATTTTGCAGATGTTAAGGGGGGGCAGAGCCTGCAGCCACCATCCCTTTCCAGTGGGGAGGGGGCAGAGGAAAGACAGGAAGCTTTTCCCTGCAGAGTTAGACCCCTTGGCTGCGTGGCCCTCAGGTCCCTTCAAACTCCTGGGCGTTTTGCTGGTGGGGGGCTGCGTGGGGGCCTGGGCGATGTCAGAAGAGGAAGCTTGCAGGCCTGGTTGTCTGTTGGGGGCAGCAGGAAGAGGCGGAGGGCAGGATGTGCAGCCCCTGCCTGGCTTTCCTGTGGGACCAAGGAAGCGGCTGGGGGGGGGACTTGGCCGCTGGCCTTTGTTGCGGAGGTGGCAGTGTGGGAACGCCAGTCCCAAGGGCAGCCTCTGGGGTCTGGGTGCTGCTGCCTGTCTCCTGCCATGGACTTGGCGGGGGGGGGGCTGTGCTATTGGGCTGGCAGAGACTTAACGGGGGGCTGCCTCTCCTTTGGACCCACAAAGCTGACCCACAAAATTGCAACCCAGTGTGTGTGTTTGTGTGTGGGGGGGAACCAGCCTGCGCAGGGTAAGCCCCGATGGGGCTCCTGGGCTCCTTCTGATGCATGAAAATTGGAGGTTGTCCTTTACAGCTCAGCTCCCCAAGGGGCTCAAAGCCTCCCAAGTCCATTATCAGTCGGAGACGAATGAGTGGAAGCTGGAAGAAAGGGGGAATCTTTATTTTTCTGTTGAAACAGAGCCCTCCTTCCCACTGACATTTGCAAGGAGGGGAGGACCCCAAACAAAGGTGTGTAGCAGCTTTGAAAGACTTTTCCGGCTCAACATCAGGAAGAGCTTTCTGACAATAAGAGCTGTTCAGACGGTCTCTGCTCCCTGGGAGAGGCTAGGTGGCCATCTGTCAGGGATGCTTGAGCTAAGATTCCTGCATTGCAGGGGGGCTGGACTAGATGACCTTGGGGTCCCTTCTGTCTCTATGATTCTATGATTAGCATAATACAAGCATCTCAGGAAGAGGCATCTACCAACAGAAATCCAAGAGTGTGGCTTCTCTCCTGTCTGTCAAGGGACCTGCAGATGCTGATTGCCTTACTTGGTCAGTTCCTTAGGACTGGTACATACAGTCATACCTCGGGTTACAGATGCTTCAGCTTAAGCATTTTCAGGTTATGGATGCACTGAAACCCAGAAGTACCGGAATGGGTTACTTCCAGGTTTCGGCACTTGTGCATGCGCAGAAGCGCTAAATCACAACCTGTGTGTGCGCAGACGCAGCAATGTGAGTTGCGAACACTGCGGGTTGCGAACGTGCCTCCCACATGGATCACGTTCGCAACCCGAGCGTCCACTGTACCTTGGTTCTCGAACAGAATGCGTTCCGGGAGTCCATTCGACTCCCGGAACCATTTGAAAACCAGAGTGCGGCTTCTGCCAGAGGAGCCCCCTGCAGCCAATCGGAAGCCGCACCGGATGTTCGCCCTCCAAAAATCATTTGAAAACCAGAACACTCACTTCCGGGTTTCGATTGTTCAGAAGCCGATTTGTTTGGGAGCCAAGGTGCTCGGCTTCTCAGGTACAACCGAACCTGAGTCCTTGGACTCCGTTTCCCAGACTTACACCTATTCATGCTCTTTAGACAGGCCTGCTTTGCTTCTGACAAATACTTGCCAGGCTAGTTTTGCAGAGGGGTCCCCTGTTCCTGCCAGGAAGTTCATCTATTCACATTGATTGGAGGATTTGCAAGTGAAAAGAAGTATTGGGAAAGGTTTCCCAGATGAGCCAGGATGGCTTTGCGTGACCTCAAATGAAGTGTCTTATCCTCAGGGAATATTTCCTAATTTCTGAAGGGTGATGATCGGTTTTTCTGTGTGACTGCTATCTGTGTGCGCCTTAAAAAAAAAAATTTTTAACGCTTATTTTCTGCCTGGAGGGGCTTGGATGGTGGGCACCACCAAAGGGGCTGCCAGGATGTGGCCAGTGTGTGTGGGGGGGTCTTCCTTGCCTTGCTGGGCTTCCAAGGGCTGTTTTAAGCAGATGCCGGCGCTGGGGTGCAAATATCCGCCCAGCGCCCCCAAATTACCACAGATAGTGTTGGGGTGCCATAGCTGCGCACTGCCAGCCATCCAGGGGGGGCAACTCCCCCCCATGCTGCTGCGGGAGAGCTATCCCCACAGAGGCTTGGGAGTGAAGTTGCCCCCCTCCCAAACCTCCTGGGGAGAGAGCAGTCCCTGCAGAGGCTTTGGGAGGGAAGCTGTGGCGTCTGCCAGTCTTATGGTTGGTGGGACGGCAGCTGGAGGCATGCGGGGAAAGGGGAGGCCGCCGGCAAAGCCGCGCAGCTCCCCCCACTCGCTGGGGCGCCCCCTGAGAGGCCGGTGCCCTGGCGTTATGCACCACTAAGCCCTATGGGAAAGACGGCTCTGCTGGGCTCCCAGTGGGGTGTAGTGGTTAAGAGGGGGAAGACTCGTAAATATGGTGAACCGGGTTCGCTTTCCCCGCTCCTCCACATGCAGCTGCTGGGTGACCTTGGGCCAGTCACACTTTCTCTGAAGTCTCTCAGCCCCTCTCACCTCACAGAGTGTTTGTTGTGGGCAGGAAGGGAAAGGAGAAATGTTAGCCGCTTTGAGACTCCTTCGGGTAGTGATAAAGCGGGATATTCAAATCCAAACTCTTCTTCTTCTTCTTCTAAGCTTCCGCCCTCTGTGGAAGGGCAGCCTCGTAAGGTGGGGTTGCTCCAGATTACAGGCTGGCCTTCGCCATCCTGCTTCCCTCCAGGCGCAGCCAGCAGGACCAATGGCTAGGGCTGAGGTGGACCCAGCAAACGCTTGAGGACGCCTCTCGACCTGGGGGAGGAGGCTGTCAGAGATCCAGGCCTGTTGCCCTCGCTGCCTCTTTAGCGTCGGACGGTCCCTTAGCCGTGATTCCTGAATTGCAGGGGGTTGGAATGGATGATCCTAGGAGGCAAGGACAATAGAGACTTTATTTGTTTTTATTCATTTCTATTAAATTTTCCACTTTAAAAATCCACTCAAAAGGACAATTGAGACTTTAAAAAAGACTGGGAAGCGTTTATGTTGCATTTACTGAAACATTGTAAAGAAGTGGACTCACTAGCAGAGTTTGAGTAAACACTTACAGTCTACAAAACAAACACAGAAATGAAGATAACAAGTGTAAGATACAATTTGAAGAGAATGATGGTACAAAAATGACGAGTGTAACAATATTTAATTTAAAGATTACAATATTCAGGTATTAATAAGCAGGAGAAGCAAAATACTTAAAGAACCAGAAGAGGAAGTTTGAGGGAAGTCGCGGGGGAGAGTGGGAATTAAAGTTTTTTCTTTTTATGTGATAATGGTGATTGTGATGAATATAAAACTCTCAAATTTAAATAAAAACTTTTTTTTTTATAAGACCCTAGGGCTCCCTTCCAAGGCTGCAATGATGGGATTCTAGATGCTGTTTGGGGGGCCGTGTGAAGCCCCCTTGGCCGGCCCTCTGGCTGCTGCCAGCCAGGCCTTTGGAGACCCCCTGCTGACCCCTCCTCTGCCCTCCCCCAGGCTTGACAGGACCATGTCGGAGGTGCGCAGGGCCACACCAGCAGTCTGCAGCGCAAGAAGCCCCCGGGGCTGATGCTGGACATTCCCGCCCCAACGGTCTTGGCTGAGGAACCAGCCATGGCACAGGTAGTCATTTTTATCATCTCTTACATTTTTAAAATTTTTATTTATATTTTTCAGATATATACATTTCACCAATTTTACAATCACTTTGACATTTTAAAACTTGACTTCCTTCCCCCTCTCTCTGCGGTTCCTTAAATTTATTTTTAATATCTTCTGCACAGCCAAATTAACTTAACTCACTCATTTACAGTATCTTCTTTGAATATATACTCTCATGTAACTGCAGGTTATTACAGTAATCCTGCCAGTGTTGTTATCTGCTTACAATTTATCTGTAAATATCCAATAAACCGTCTCCATTCTTTTATAAAAAGTTTTGTTATCTTGATTTCTTCTTATTCCAGTAAGTTTGGCCAATTCTGCACATTCCGTAAGTTTTTTGTATCAATGATTCCTTTGCTGGGACTTCTGCTTCTTTCCTTTTGGGGCCAAGAAACATTCTTGCCGCTGTAGTCGCGCACATGAATAAGTTTCTTTACAATTTATGTAGTTCTGTCCCTATAATTCTTGAGAGAAAAGCTTCTGGTCTCTTTTACAAACATTATTTTAAACATCCTTTTCATTTCGTTGTATATCATTTCCCAGTAAGCTTTAACCTTACCACAAGACCACCACATATGATAAAAAGAAACCTATTTTATTGCATTTTAAACCTGTATTTTAAATTGGCTCCCCCCAATTATGTTTTTTACTTTGTTTTTATTGGTGTTAGCTACCCTGAGCCTGCCTCTGGTCAGGGAGGGCGGGGTATAAATAATAATAATAATTATTATTATTATTACTATTATTATTACTATTATTATTATTATTATTTACATACCACTATTTCCTCCCGGGAGCTCAGGGTGCGGCCCCTGCCCCCCCCAATTTTATCCTCACAACAACCCTGAGAGGTAGGTTAGGCTGAGAGACAGTCGCACCCTGTGAGCCCAGTCTCTCTGCTCTAACCACTAGACCACGCTCCCCTGTGAGGCCGGGAGGGAGAGGGCCACACCAGTGAGGAGTTGGGGGATTCCCATGCCTGAGACCTCCGGCAGCCAGCAGTCTTGCAGCCAGTGCCTCGCCCCCCCCCCAGTTTTGCTGCCAACCCCTTTTGTTTTCCCTCGGCAGCCCCCAAGCACCGGGCCTTCCTCCGCAGCGTCAGCATGCCCACCGAACACACCCGCTTCCCCTCCCCCTTCGGCGACCTGCGGCGCCCCGTCCTCCAGCGACACACCTCCATCACCCAGACCATCCGGAGGTAAGATCGCAGGAATCAGAGCGTGATGGGGGGGGACCCTGAGGGTCATCCAGACCAACCCCCAGAAATTCAGGAACCCCAATGATGGCATCCATGGCAGATGGCCGGCAAACCTCTGCTCAAAACCCGCCAAGGAAGGAGAGAGGGAAGAAGTTCTCTTCCCCTGTCAGCAGAAAGTTCTTCCTGATGTTGAGCCGGAATCTCCTTTCTTGTAACTTGAAGCCATGGGTTCGAGTCTTACCCCCAACCCCCTGAAGCGGGGAAAAAGAAAACAAAGCTGGCACCATCTTCCGTGCAACGGCCCTTCAGAAGACCCAAAGATGCTCTCGGGCCTCCTCTCCTCCAGGCTAAACTCTTCTGGGTTACATCCTCCTCACCAGCTCCTTTTTCCTCCTCATCTGGGTCTTTTGCCTTTGCCAACCTGGTGCCCTGCAGATGTTTGGGACGCCAACTCCCATCAGCCCCCTGGGCCAGCGCAGCTGTGGCGCACTGGGCTAATGGGGTCAGAGCTCTCCCCCCCAAACCCCAGGGAGGGCAGCAGGTTGTCCAAGGCTCTTGGAAAGGAGCCAAGGGCCTTCTCTCCTGCCCCACCCCTCCAGCCTTGGAAGGGTCTGGGATAGGCAGCCCCTGCCAGGGTCCCTGGGCACCGCCGGGTTGCCTCCATTGCCCCCCACTGCCAGCGCCCCCTCAGCTGTCTCTCCTTTGCAACAGGCAGGTCCGCTTTGAGATGACTCAGACTTTGCCCGTTCAGGGGCGCCAGGTGGGCAGGAGGCCCCCAGGAGACACCAGTCTCTGCCCAAAACGGGGCTTCAGGTACCTGCAGTGCTGGTGTGACCCCCTCGTCCCCCCCGCCCCATTGCATGTGTGTGACGTGCATGTGGGTCCCCCGGAGCAATGCCTGCTCCTCCTGCCCCATCCCTCTCCCCATCTCACAGCCAACAGGTGGCCATTTGCTATCCCTCCCCCCACATGCACGCACCTGCCCACCCCAAACCTGGCATGGCCCCACTGCTTGCCTGCAGGAGAACAGCTTGCCACCCACTTGCCTTGGCGCAACTGGGCCGGCCTGGTTTCCAACCGGGTCTTGGATTGTCCGGCTTGGACCGAGTGCGAGTCCACAAACAGGCTTGGCTCTCCGTCCTGGCCCTGTGGTGGGACCCTCGTGGCTCTCCCTTTCTCTCTGTGTCCCCCCGACCCTGCAAGGATGGGCACCGGGAGAGGGAAGGCTGCCCGGGCGCAGGCTCCCACAGCGCTGCATCGAGCTCAGAAGTGCAGCGCTGTGGCAGCTGCCTGCAGCCAAAACTCTGTCCCTGCCTGCCTGTTGTGAATAACCTCTACTAATGTGGGGTTCCCCTCCCAGGCCACCCTGTGGACAGACGCACTAATAGCAGCAGCAAAATGGCTAACCTCGGCGCCAGCTTGCAGCGGTTCCCCCGGGGGGCGGACTCTGCTGCTGGTCCGGCCTAAGGGAGTGCGAGGATTCGGTCGGATCCTTGCTGCAGTTGTGGGGGGAACTGGCGAAAACGTCACAGGGGCCCGGGAGGGGCCCATCTATTTGGGCCCCCCTGAGTTTGGCTGCTTCCCTCCTCTGCTCCTTCCCCTCTCAGGGGCACGGCCGACTGGTTTGGCGTCAGCAAGGAGAGCGACGCCACGCAGAAGTGGCAGCGGAAGAGCCTTCGCCACTGCAGCCTGCGCTACGGGAAGCTGAAGCCCCAGGTCATTCGAGAGATGGACCTCCCCAGCCAGGACAACATCTCCCTGGCCAGCGCCGAGACGCCGCCTCCACTCTATGTGCCACCCTGCCAGCTGGGCATGCAGAGGGTGAGCCGGTCCGGGCCCTGTTGTGGGACGAGGGGGGCTGCTGGGCGTGGGGCAGGAGATGCCCTGCACCCACGGGACCCCTGGGCACTGGGAAAAGGGTGTATTGGGCCGGGGGCAGACCCTTCCCTGAGGCGAGGGCCCTCCCTAGCTAATGGGCCCCTCCCTCCTTGGCGCCGGGCAGATCATCGACCCCCTGCGCGGGGAAGGGCCTTCCGGATGGCTCCGAGGACAGCGATGGGCTGCAGCATGCCCCACACGCCGGCCACGCCAGGGGCCATGTCGCTCTGCTCCTTCACCAGCTCCCGGTCAGGCTTCAACCGGTGGCCGCGGCGGAGGAAAAGGGAGTCAGTGGCCAAGATGAGCTTCCGAGCCGCAGCAGCCCTGGTGAAGGTAAGGCAGGGGGGTTGGCGGAGCAGAGGGGGGGCGTTCAGTGGGTGAGGAAATCCTGCTTGCCTTGGTTGGTTGGGGGCCTGGCGGAACGTCCAGGGGGGCATCAAGCACCAGGCAGAGGGAGGGAGGAAGAGGGACATTTGGAGTACTGTGAGCAGTCGTTTCTTTAAAAAAAACTCTTTTTTAAAAATCATTTTTATTTGATTTTACAAATATAATTTTGTAACAGTCCAAATACATATCCATATATATATCTGAATCTTGAGACTTTCCCCCTATCGCCTTCATGGGTCCTATTGTTGACATTTAAAACTGCATATTATTCTGTAATCAATAATTTATATCAATCCATACTATCCATAGCATTTGTTACATTACAAGTGAGATTAAAATCCTGCTAATGTTTCCATCTGTTTGCAGTGGTCTCCTAAATAAATTATATTTCCCCCCATTCTTTTAAAAAGTTTTAGTCCTCTTGGTTCCTGAGCTCAGGAAGCTGAAAAAATATTTTTTATTAACTTTCCAAAAAAAAGATCGTAAGAGATTTTGCAGAATACAGCGTTGTCAGACAGAGTCTGGTGACAATATGCCTAGTCGCTAGTTGCAGTGATGGCCAAATTTGGCCCTCCAGATGTTCTGGGACTACAGTTCCCATCATCCCTGACCCCTGGTCCTGTTAGCTAGGGATGATGGGAGTTGTAGTCCCAGAACATCTGGAGGGCTGAGTTTGGCCATGCCTGCAACCCCACCAGAGGTCGAACTAGGATCCCATTTCTGAACATCCCTTCCAGCACTTTGTTGATGTTGATGAATTTATGTACAAGAGTCTTCTAGGAGTCCTGAACCACTTAGGAATCAACTTTACTGACCGTTCTTTATATTTAGCAGATATATTATGAAAAGGAATTTCTGCCCCCCATTGCTATCCAAGTGTCTTCAGTTCTGTCAGGTTCTAAATCTGTTCCAGGACATCCTTGAACCTGTTTGGTGTCCAGGTTCATGTTTGAGTGAAATTTTATAGATATTTGAAATCGTGCCGTTTGAATAGCATAGAGAAATAAGAATTACATTTTCAAAATTGGAAAGCTCTCATCTGGCAGAGGTTTGACAATTTCGTTGTGTAGGAAAGCACTAACTTGTCGCCATGTCAACGAGGGACGTGGACATTTCCCAATTTCTC